ATGCTGGACATGAAATTGCATTTTCTCCTCCCATTCAAGTAACTCCTTGCTGGAATTCCAGGAACCAAAGTTGCAGCTCGATCTGCATCCACTCTGGACAGGTCTGTCCTGCACTGATAAAGGATGAAGTGTGTGCTGCAGGAGTCCCTGGCCATAATTCCATTTCAGGGAACACATTTTCAGGCTCATGAGAGGCTCTGGCTGGGACAGAAGCTCTGTGAGTAATGATGTGTCCGTGTGAGAACACCTCCACCTCTCCTGTGAGATGTAAAACCAGTGGTGCTACTGCTCCCACCTCCCTGTGAGATGCTGCCCTTGGTTGATTTGGGTCAGATTTGTTATTTTAATTGAATCCTGCTGTGCAGTGTAGTGGGGTAATGGGATTTTTTGCCTCTCATATTGTACTCTTCATCAATAGATATTTTGTTTTTCTGTGGATACTAAAATTTCCTCAATTTTAGAGGTGAGGAGTTGTTGCAAAAAGAGGTGACCATGGCAGTGGTGGAGACAGGAGCACATTGCCTCCAAACTCCCATTCTCTGTATTTCCCTGTCCTTTAAAGTTAAAGAATGACCAAACCATTTGAAAAACATCTTAATATCAGCTCTATTAGAAAAACAGTCAATAGATCATCCTGCTCATTTATCCCCATAGTATCCATCTGCAACTTATTAAAACAGCCTGAAAGTCAAGTTCTCATTCACCACTTCATTTTTCTTCCTCTTTTGTTTGTTTGCCTGCTTGCTTGCCTGGGAATTTGTTATACAGAGCCCTGGGAATATAGAAGGTATAATAAAAATAAATAAAAATTCCCTCTCAGTGCACAGATCATGCCCTGAGACGGTGCCTGTTGGGCAGCCCTGCACTCCAGGGCCACAAGGCTCCAATTCTGGCACCTTTTTCACCTAAAACTCCTTGAAATCCATGGAAGAGCTGTGGGGTCAGCCCCTGTCCTCTGAAGGTGTGACATTAATTGTGGAATGAAGGAGCTGGAGGTTTTCAGGTGGCACAGGAGCACTGGGCAGGGACAGACCTGAGGTGAATATTTCGTGTGTGAACATCATTGCCCTCCAATTAATTTCTCACCAAGTCAGGACATCTACATTCCTCTGCCAGTGGTAAGAGAGCTTTTTATTATTATTGTTTAGAAATGAGTATGACTTTGAGCTTCATTAAAACCAAATGTTTAATTGCACTCACGGATCTCAGGTTTATCAATTTACTTAATTTCCCCTGTATAGTGCAGCAGAATAATATATAATAGTTTCATATAGTGCTGTCCCAGCCAAGTTTTGCTTCAGCATCCCAATTTTTCAGACAAGTATGTGTTGATGGTTTATGTTGGCAGGACCTTTGCTTCTGCTGACAAGTTGGAAGAGAAAAATCCCATTTATATTTTGAGATTTCCTAAAGCCTGTTGATTTATGAAATATGACTGGCCTCGCTTTAGATTTTGTTTTGGTTTTCCTTTTAAAGAGGAAAAAAAAATTATATTTGATTTTATCAAAGGTTTAAAAAGTGGAATTATTCCATTAAATTGCCTTTCCCTGATTGAGAGATTCCTGGCAATGTGAAATCACGTGAGTTACATTTTAATTTCTGTGTGAGATGGGGAGAGCTCTCCCATCTCACACAGACGTTCCCCACGTGGCTCAGAAGGGAGGACAGGAGGCAAAGCCCCGTGAATTTTCCACATCCAGGGATCTTCAGAGATGTGGATGTGGTCGGTTTGGGGCTGACCCCCAGACACGAGCAGAGACCAAACCCTGTGCAGAGCTGGAGTCAAATTTAACCCAGGACCACACTGGAGCTGCTTCCAGTTGGCCTGGAGCCTGGGAGTTGATGTCTGGACGTGCTCTTGGGATGGATATTTTCCCTCCCTCTCTGCTACCAGTGATGGGGAAGACAGAGGGATAATTTCAGGTAGGGTTGGGGTTGTCTCTTGGCTTTCCTGCCTGCCTCATTTGCAAATCTTTCTGACTTCCCAATGTCTGCAGTGTTGGGACTGAGGAAAACACAGAACTAGACACCTGACTCAAAAATCTGAATACTTCATATTGCTTTTTTTCCCCTCAAACATTTATAATCCTGGGAATTCTAACAGTCTTTTTTCTGATAGAAATCCCACAGATCAGTCTTAAGGACTTGCTGAAATCTCTTTGGGGTTCTTTGTATAATTTTTGATTGGGGATCTGTAGTTAAATATAACATTTGCCACGTTAATATATTGTTTGCCACAGTGGGGAACACTACATTGTTTAACATTAATGGCTCCTGAAAAATAAAAGTTTTGGGAGCATGGGCTGGCTCAGGAGTGTGGGAGAGCCCTGTTGAAGAGGGAGACACAGAAATGGTGGAGGAGTAACAGAGGCTTCTTGGAAACACCTGAGGAGACTGGAAAGAACCAGTAGCTATGGATTTATTTTATTTGCCTCGGATTCTCAGTCCTGAATGACTGGTGGGTATTGTTCACACCAAAAAAAAAAAAGAAAGGAACCATAATTCTTGACTTGTTACATTTTTAAGATGCTGTGCTTGGCACTGCACGATGGGGGAAAAATGCAGTTGTAGGAAAAGAAAATTAGTCAAAAACAGAGAGCTGGCCAAGAAAATTCATATTTGATATTCATTATCTTATTACAGATGGTCACAAGCCAAGTGCTGATATCCTGTAGGCCGCACTCAAGGGATAAATGTGTGTCTTAAATGAAAAGTCTGGTTTTCTTTATGCTGAGTCTGTGGATTTTCCTTGTCCTGGGGTTGCTCCATAGGCAAAGTGAAACTGTCCTTAAGGCCATTCTGTCCCTTAATGGGATGGGAATCAGGCTGATATGCTCAGGAAAACCCAAATTAGTCATTCTGGGATCTGATCATAAAGGAAATGAGGGGTAAAGAAATGGATATTTAGTTCTTTTTAACAAAATAGTTAATTAATTCTTTTTTAACAAAATTATTATTTAGTCCTTTTAGACAGAGGTTGAGTACACGAGGGATGCATTGGAAATGTGGCATTGATGTTGCACATTTTGGATATGAACTCTGGCAAACAAGATGCTCACTTTAAAATGTTAAAAATATAAATTAAAATTGAGAGAACTCTACTCAGGATACAGCCAAGTGTCTCCCTTTCCAGTGTAAGTAAGTAAAGAAAATTGTTCAAGCTTCTGATTTTAAAAGTGAATGTTCTAAGAAGGGCAAATTTAGCATTAAAAATAAAACCCTTCATGCTTTTCTGTTGTTTCTGAGTTGTCAACACAGGGAGCTGCTCAGGCTGGCCCATTTCAAACAGTGACTAATGGACTCCTGCCTCCAAAATTAAATGATTAATTGCACAAGGCAAAGACAAGAACCCTTATTTGATTGTGCTGATTACAGGGCTGCTGGTTTTTGGAGTAAAGGGAATATGTTGTCCTAATTTCCTAAATCCTCCAAGGAGTGAGACAGCTCTGACAATAATTTAGAGCTGTGGGGTGTGAGGCTGCTCAAATCACGGGGTGACCTGCCCGAGGTGTCTCGTGTGTCAGGAGGGTTGTTGGGATCCTGGCTGGAGCTGCAGGGTTGCTGGGATAAATCAGCCCAGCTTTTCCAGCCATGATCCATCACTCCCAGCTCGCTGGCTGATGGGTGAATGTGTCTTACCTGCTCTGCCAAGGGGACTGAGGAAGCTGCAGATGAATTATCAGACCTTGAGCTGTGGTTCAGGTCAGTAAAAGAGGTTCCTGGGGCTGCTGTTGGACAGATTTTGATATCATGGCTTTCCAGGCTGCTTTTTCCTCCTTGGACTTTTAGCTGCTCCAGTCACCAGTCAAATGTCTGTTGGCTTGGCTGAACTGGTGTCAGTGGTGCTCTGAAGCAAAATTGTGCAGCCAGCTCAGAATTAATACTTCAGTTAATTTGTTATCAGACCAAAGACTTTGAGTTCCTTCATCATACCTTCCTAATAATAGGATAACTAAGGTAACTTTTTCCTAATAATTATAATTTTCTTTTTAAATCAGTCTTCATTAACCTGCTTTTGGGTCCTTTTTCTCCTATTTTATCCTTCTCTTTTTTTAACTTGCTGGAAAATTGTACAGCAACACCGGTCTCACAGTGGTTGTCGTATCGTACCTTTGTCACAACACAGACAGAAATAAAAAGGGCAGACACTTCTAAAACACCAAAAAGGCACACCAAGAAAATAAAGTTGCTCCATGCCCTTGTCCCAAGTCCCTCTCCAGCTCTCCTGGAACTTCTCTGCAGGCTGGAGACCCAGCTCTCCCAGCCTGTCACACATTTGGCCTTTTGTCACCTTTGTTTTGCTGTGGCATCTCAGGACAACGGGGCAGGACCCGGCACAAGGACCCTCTTTCTTTCCTCCTGCAGTCTGTAGCTTAAAGAATTCAGCAAGAGAGCTCTCACTGTAAAATCTGTGAGTTCCTCGGGGTGCAGGTGGTATTGCTGTCAAAATTATTACTTTGGGCAGTAAAATGAGCGAAACGGGAATCAACCGTTCCTGTGTCTGAGCTTCGCTCTGCTGCCCCGCTGTGCAATATTTAATAATCCATCCTGACACCACGAGGCCTCTTTGATCTGGCAGGGCCGAGGTTCCCATCAGGGTTTGGTTTAGGAGCTGTAATGCAACTGCAGACTGTAATGAATGCTTTCCCTCTGCACCTTCGCTTCCCAAAGCGTTTCTCCAGGTTTTCGTTCGCTCCCGTTTGCCGCGGCTCCGTCGGCGATGCATCACTGGGAGAGTGGAAAACAAATAAAACACAAATATCATTTTGCTCTGCAGTGCAGCATTTCAGAAGAGACAAATTTCTGTGAGCCATTGGTTCTTTTAAAGTATAGTGTGTGCTGCAATGACAAATGTACAGCTTTGATGTTTCCTGCTCCACTCACCCGTGATGTCGTAAATCAGTGTTTTGCTTTCTCCTACTCCATCATTATTAAACTTGGTGTAACTGTGGTGTAGCTCCTGAAAGCCACGTGTCTCACTCTGCTCTCCTGTGTCCCAGGGGAATTATTGTGTTTGAAAACAGCAGCTACATTCTGGAGCCATTGGAAGGTTCTGCTGGAGGTGAGCACAAGATCTACCGAGCGGAGAAGCTGAAAATAGTCCCGGGATCTTGTGGCCACCAGCTGGACATCCCTGCCATGGGGGCTGCTGCCAGTGCCACGTCACAGCGTTCTCCTGCTGCCAGGGTAGGTGCCTGATGTGCTTTTGTGTGTCTGCTTAGCAGCATTAACATATTGCTGCCCACCACAAGAGTCTCTACTGAGCAAAACCTTAACCCACATCATCGACTTCCCTTGGTGCCATCTGCTGAAGTGCAGCCTTGAGATCATTTGCTAAAGTCTTATTACTTTAATTATTTATTACTTTTCCTGGACTCTCCATGCATAGTTTGCTTTTCACTTCCTTTTTAACACAGGAAAGTTTATGCTTTCATATTCTGGTCGTATATTTTAGTTCTTGTATGGTTATAACCAGAATTTAAGGCTCCCTAAGAATACTAAGCAATGTCTGGAAACGTTCTTGCCCTCCCAAGACGAAAGAGAACATGATAGCTGGGATACTTTGCTAATACCAGGTTTGGAACCTTTGTATTTTAATAGCAAAGTCTCTTATGCAGACAAAAAACAAATTCTCAGCATATTATTTTACAAGTGTATTATTGGAGTTGCTGTGAAGTTGGCAAAAATTTGCTTCATGTGAGATGCATCTAGCTAATGGAAATTAGAAAATTAAATCAGCTAAAAACCAGGAAGAGGAAATGCTGTAACAAATTCATCAGCATCTTAGATAAGGATTGTAGAAAAGGCTGGATTAGGTGCTCAGGAATGATATAAATTATACGAATCTGCCATCAGCATTTATCGAATGTCACATATGGGGATTTGTACTTGCATGTATGACTCAGGCTTTGCATCAGGTCCATTGTTAAGGAAAGCAACCTAAGTGACATCTCTAGCTATAATTATGCAATGGAATTAATTTATTTTACCTTTTTAGGAATGTTACATCTAGAGCATTAGCCTTTGCATGTGACATTATAAGAATTAAGTGTATTTCTAAAAGTATATGTGGGTGGAAAACATTGGAAATACAACTTTATTAAGGTGTCCTCAAATTATTTGTGACTTTTACTGAATTCCACTGAAGTAGTCAATGCAATGAAGAAATAAAATGTGTGCATGCAACAAACTGACACAATCAAAGCCATTTTTTTATTACCTTCATGGTTCTCCCATTTTGCTGGTGGCTTCAACTGCATCTCAAATTTCCCTTTAAATATCCGAAAAATATTTTTGCTGTGGTTCAGTGGACATAATTATAAAACCTGTCAACAGCCACATCATATGGATAGGTACAACATATTTAATGAGTAAGTTGGTTAAGTTTCTAATGTAGGAATTTTGAAAGCTGTCAAATGTAATGTGTGGAGTGAGTTTTCATATTTCAGTGTTGTCACTAAGCAGTCTGTCAGTGGGCACGTTGAGTAAAGGTGACCTGCAAAGTGGGGAGACATAAAGCTGCTCCAAATTACACTGGGTGACAGAATTAAGCAGAAATCTGGTCTAAGGTTCAGGGCATGATGAAAATATTTGGCTTCTTGACAGGTCTGGGGGAAGATTTTTGTTTGGTTTTATCCCCCGACTCTTCACTCAACCGCCTACATGAAATTCTCATTGAGCAGAGCTGAAATGTGAGATCAATATATCACCAAGGGCTCTGGGTTCGATGCAAGAACAGATGAAGGATTGGACAAGCAGCAGGCTTAGCTTCCCTGGTCCAAACAGGAGCTCAGGTGGAGCAGGGCAGGAGATGCAGAGGGGTTTGCAGACAGGCTGTGCCCCCTGGGACAGGGTCTCTGTGAGTATTGTGCCATTTCCTGGCTCACTGCACCCTCCTGCTGCACCAAGGAACATTTTCCAGCTGAGCTCCAGGACAGGACAGGCCCTGCAGGAGGGAATTTTCTCTGTAGCCACAAAGGAAAAAAAGCCATTTTGGTGGTGCTGGTGACCACAACCAGGCAGGTGATTTTTTAAAGCATGAAGAAAGGGAGTCTGCAGCCCTGCAGTGCCCATCCAAGCCACGCCAATTCCCAGGCAGGGAAGGCTGAGGAAGGGTTGCAGCTGCTGGGACAGCAGGTTTGTGACAGGATCAGGAGTGGATGAAGCAGAGGAAAGAGACAAAGGTCAGTGGAACAAAGCCCATTGTCCCCCAGCTCTCATGGCTGTGTCATTGGCTCTTCAGTTTTGAAGGATTAACTCAGCAAAGGGGTTATGCATTGATGCAGCTGGCTGCAGAAAGCATGCTGAAAGAAGCCATAATTAGGTATATTTCATAAATAAATATTGTATCCTAGGAATTCACATAGCCTTTGGGCAAATCTCAGGAACAGATTTGTTATGCAAGTCAGTCACCAGAGGCTTATGTGATTTTTATACCTGCCAGCCAATTTCTCTCCAGCTCACTCCAGTCCAAACAGTTTTACTCTTGGTAAGAGGGAAATGTTTTAAACTGACTGATGTAACAGAGCTCTCCTTGTACCTTTGAACTCAGATTTTCCTGTATCACCTTTTCTTATTCACTTGGAGGAAAATGAGAGGCACCTTGAAGATGCATCTCTTTAAAACCTCATAATAAATTTCAGGATGGGAGAGTTTAAGTGTCTGAGCCATCAATTCCATCACAAACCACAGCCACATTTGCATTTTGTGGCCCCTCACTCGTGTCTGAGTGACATCACACCCCAGTACCAAAAGTTTTAAAAGAATCTACCTCAGCTCATTTGACAGAGCCCCTAGTAAGTGTAATCCTGTCAAGTGTTGGCATCCTTGATGTTTAGTTAATTAACAGCAGCTTTTACTCCTCTCTCCATCCAAAAATATTGTCCAAATGAAACCTTTTTTCAAGTTATTGGAGTTTGCAACACTATTAAATATTAGTTTGAAAGTCAGATACTAAAGATTGCATAGTTCACTTTTCTCTAATTCTTGCAAAACATCAAAATCATTAATCTGCAGATAATGAAGAGGAACAGTTTGATAATGTGAAGAGAACTTCGTGAAATTTGGCTGGAAGGAGATGTCCAGCACTGGCTGTGCTTAGGGGATCTCTCAGTCTGCCTTGGAGCAGTTTTCCTTGGAAAGCTTTAGTCGTGTTTTAGGTTAAAGAGCTTTGCTGCAGCTCGAGACATCATGGTCAGTTGTAGGTCAGACATCTGTTTAAGCCCTCTAAGTTCTGGCAGGAAGATCAGATATTCTGCTGAGACCTCTTTTCCCTAAATGTTCTAGTCCAGACACGAGGAAGGAATGAAAGGCTACATGTTGCTGCTGTAAATCACAGAACTTTTACAGGCACTAATAAGTCACTTAAATTTAGGGTAGCAAAGGAGCTGTGACACGTTTTGTACTCTTACAAAATCATTTCACTTTCTTCAGTGGTTTTGTTTTTTCAGTTCAGCCTTATGATTCTTTTAGACCTGCATTTGCTATGAATATACAGATATGAAATTAAATGTGTGCCTTCCATTTTTCAAGTATTAATTTGCTTCCCCAGACACTGACAGTTGGTTCTGCTTTCTTTTTTTATTTTTGGATTTTTCTTCCTACATAATTTATCAGTTGACTGCTTGACCCCTTCTCTGCTTCACTCAATATCCCTTTATCTCTCATTTTTCATAGTAACCAGTTTGTCTATTGTGTGAAATGTTTGTTAGAAGTTACCTCATCCCTCCTTTAAACGTGCCTTGGAAATAGCAAAGGTCTTTCTGCTAGAGGGGATATTCTCCTGTGAGGAAAGATAACTCAAACGTTTCAACTGCAGAAAGCTGAAAGGTTGAGAGAGACTTTGCACCACTCTCCTTCTTTCTGTGATCAAATCCTGAGGGGTTTTCTAAGGAAAACTTCCATGAGGAGGAGGAAGACACCACAAATTTGTGTGTAGTAAAATCTTAGCAAAATGTAAGAAACCTGAGACGCTGCGTATTTCCTCTTGCAAGCACTTGGTTGTATCAAGGCTGAAAACAAAATGAGACTTTCATGGTTTTTTTGACAGTACAAGAGGGAGACTCTGAAGACAACGAAGTACGTGGAGCTTGTTATTGTGGCGGATAATCGTGAGGTAAGGAACTGCAAAATAAAAAGTTATGTGAGCAGGAAAGGGGCAGCTCAGTTCAGTTACCATGGTGCTGCAAATGAGGTGCTTCAGTCAATAATATGATGCTTTTCTGAGGTAAATCACCCTCCCTAATTAGGGCTGAGCAAGGGAAGGAATTATTAAGATAGGACAACAGTAATACTCAGCAGCAAAATTTCTTGCAGTACTTCAGGAGGAGTTTGGCTGTGAAATCACTGTGTCAGTATGGAAGAAGAGGCAAATATTCATTCCTTGAGCAAGTTAAGTCCTCTCTGCCATTCAATGTGCCCTCGGTGGGGCTGTCAGTGCTGCTGAAGCAGTGCTTGGCCATCACATTGCGTGGAGCACGACTGCCTTCCTGATGGTTTGCAAAGGGAGCTTCAAAGCACCCAGCACTGGCTGTAAAAATGTTCCAGTGAGCTGAATGGCAAAGATCTGAATCTTGGCTTGAATTATCTTGCTGTCTTTTTTTCTTTTTTTTTGTCTCCTTGAACACTGCTGCTTAGGGAATTGCAATCACTCTTTGCAAGACCTGCTAAGAGAAGAATTTTTCCCAAAACATCAGTCCTGAAAAGACCCCAATGTAACACTTGGAGATTTAAACATCTTTTCACAAGAACCAATAATCCTGTCCCACGGTCTGTGTTTCTTTTGGGGCAGACTCTGGTCCTATGAATCCAGCAGGAGTCTGCTGGTGGATTTTGGCTGCACCCTAATTCCCAAACAAAAAACTGTGACATTTGTGCTGCTGGTACATTGATCCTTTACATTCCAAGTTTCAGAGACAAGGCAAAGATGTGGAAAAAATTAAGCAGAGGCTGATAGAAATCGCAAACTACGTTGACAAGGTAAGAACATGAGGATTGTTTCCCTCTTCCCAACCTTACCACACTTTCTGAAGGATGCTGAAGGAGCTAACCCTGCAGCTTTCCTGGTACTCCAGTATTTCAGAGCAAAGCTTCTCTCCAACCAGGAAAAGTAAGTTTAAATCTTTCATTTCCCTTTTGATACATGAAGCCATGAGCTGTGCTCTGCTGCATATGGGATGTAAAGGTCTATGCCTAAGAAAAAACCCAATTTAGCCCTAGGATTTTATTCACCAGGGAAGAGGGTGGGAATAATCAGCTATGGAACAGCCTACAGAGAAAAAGAGGATTATTTTGAAGAGAAATTCAGAGAACAAAGTCATTTGCAGCAGCAAGGAAGGCCCAGTTGTAAGGCCAACAAAGGCCTGTGAAAACACATTTGATAGGATGTGTAATCCTAGGAAGATGGCAGAATTAAAAATAAGGAAGCAGAGCTCATGGCTGAGTGAGAGCAGTAAGACAGAAACATACACTGGATTTTTTATGGTCTTGGAATAATTCTCTGACAGTAAACAATAAAGGCTAAGAGTCCTCTAGAGCGGTTTCTGAACAAATTAGAGTTTATTTTTGTTGGGCTGTATGGCCAGAAAATATTAGGACTCTAGTAGTGAAATTATAACTGAGAGTGTCTTAATTTATCTGAGAACTTATCAAGTGATACTTCAAGGGCAGTAGCTCAAGGAGAAGCATTCCTGATTAAAAACAAGCTGCTGAAGACACCTCTACTTCATCCATAATTGTCTTGCTGACTTATTGCCAGAGGACAGGTGTTTATATGTTACCTGCTCAAAATTAATTTTGCATGTTGTAATATATTTTTTGTTTCATGCCTAATTTATGCTCAGCAAATGCTGGTGTTATGCAAATGAGTGGAATGCATAGGAACAAGACAAAGATCTACTGGGTGTTTTCTCAGGCAAATCTGGACTTGATCAATCCTTGACTCCTTCCTCGCATTACTCTCCCCGTAGAATTGTTGTTGTGGCTCTGCTAATGCTGTTCTGGCTCCTCTCTTGCAGCAAAATGGCATTTGCTGGTGGGGGAATAGATAAAATCACTTGGTTTTATCTGCTCTGTGAAAGACTTGATGACCCTGGCTGATTTTCAGCTATTATTGTGAACCACAACCATGGCACAGCGCGGTTCCTCTCCCTCTGGAATGGGATCTGTGCAATTCCAGGTGGGGCAGCTCTGGGAGAGTCATCTGCCCTGGCCAGGAGTTCATTCAGAACTGCAGGACGTGGGCAGGGAGCTGCAGAGATGGGTAGGACAGGGAGAAGCAAGGAAATCCCTTTGAATGCCTTCTGGGTATTGAGTTGGAACTCAGAACTGTTTTCTGGGAATCTTGGAAATATTTTGTCTGAGTGCTGCCAGGTGTTTTGCCCTGAAGAAGGAATTGTTTTAACCTCTACAAGAAATGTTCATTATGTTCTTACTGAAATATTCTAATCTGAATATTCTAGTCTGAAATGGTTTTTAGACACATATTTCCTACTTTTCTCTTCTCCTTAGTTCTACAGGCCACTAAATATCCGAGTGGCCCTGGTGGGAGTGGAAGTGTGGAATGACATGGATAAGTGCTCTATTTCCCAAGACCCTTTCACCAGCCTGCATGAGTTCCTGGACTGGAGAAAGCTCAAACTCCTACCTCGGAAAGCCCATGACAATGCACAGCTGATCAGGTAGGCTTGACTCTGGATTTGATTCCCACCAGGATTTTGGGGTTTGGGGGAATTTTGGGGATTTCAGGATAGCTGCACTGAGTATTCCCCCAGCTGCTAAGCTGTTGGAAGGAACATCTGTGCTCCTGAGGGTTTGCCTTTCCCCTCTGCAGACATCAAACCCAGAAATGCTCCACAGGGTTCTGCAGCAGATGCTCCAGATGAGTTTCCTCTCCCAGCCCTGCTGCTGTCCCGAGTACAACTCACCTAGAGGGTGCAGCAGGTTGTAATCAGCTGCTGCATACTCAGGGAATGAATTTACAACCAGTTTAAACTGGCCTCAGTCTAAATTGTCACTGGAAAAGACACTCCTGCTCTGCCCCTAATGTAAAGGCTGTTTCTTAATGAAAAGACCTCAGTATGCTTTAAAATGCTGTCCAATTTAGACAATTCATTTGCATTCGTGATTTAAAAATTAAGCCATAAATGTATTTTACCCTGCTGCTTTTTCTTGGGATAAAGTAATTGAGTAAAGGTCCCTGTCAACCCAGACCAGTCTGTGGTTCCGTGCAAGGAAAAGGACTCCTAAAAAAAAGGAAGAGGAACATCTCTTTCTTGAATAGGTATTATTTTGATCAATTGACTGTTCTTTATACTGAGCAGATAAACACAACTGATGTCTCAGTAATTAAAAGGAGTTATTTACTTCTTACATTACCTGAATAAGAATAAATGGAGCCTTTCCAAACTGTCCCTCCAGAGATACTTGATTGCTCTATATGTATAATAACACTTTGTCTGAAATTATTACATTCGAGGCTGTGCATCATCACAAGTAGCACATAAACTTCCCCCTGCATTACAATAACCCTTCTTTGAGTCAGAGACATTATTTTTATGCTGCTGCTTCTGTTCCTAACCTCAGTCAGCAGAAACAAAGAAAGGGAAGAAGGGTCCTGTTGCAGCAGTAAAAACAAATACGAGGGTGATCCAATGGGGGTGATTCAATGGGGGTGATCCAATGGGGGATGATCCAGTGGGAGAGATCCAAGGAGGGTGATCCAATAGGGGTGATCCAATGGGGGTGATCCAGTGAGGGTGATCCAATGGGGTGATCCAATGGGGGTGATCCAGTGAGGGTGATCCAATGGGGTGATCCAATGGGGGTGATCCAATGGGGGTGATCCAGTGGGGGTGATCCAGGGGGGTGATCCAATGGTGAGGGTGATACAATGGGGGTGATCCAGTGGGGGTGGTCCAGTGGGGTGATCCAGTGGGGGAGATCCAATGGGGGTGATCCAAGGAGGATGATCCAGTGGGGTGATCCAGGGGGTGATCCAATGGTGAGGGTGATACAATGGGATGATCCAATGAGAGTGATCCAATTAGGGTGATCCAGTGGGGGTGATCCAATGGGCGTGATCCAATGGGATGATCCAATGGATATTCCAAGAGCTGGGGTGCTGTGGTTCAGTTCAGCCGAGTCAGCTCAGGAGGAGCTCATGGGAGGAGCAGAAACGAGGTCTGTCTTTGAGATTGGCAGAAATACAGAACTGGAAATAACAGGGAGGTCTCTTGGCACTGGCTGGTGACTCTGTGTCTCCTCTCCCCCTCCCACAGCGGGGTGTACTTCCAGGGGACAACCATTGGCATGGCTCCCATCATGAGCATGTGCACAGCAGAGCAGTCTGGAGGGGTCGTCATGGTAAGTGGGGCAAGACTCAAACCGGGGTGACACCACATCAGGTTCTGCAGTCCTGAGCCATTTGTCCCATTTTCCATCTCTCTGTTTATATCCCCATTCAGATTGCTTGTAAATTATAGTTTCCATAGTGAAAAAACCCCAAAATATTGCATTAAAATATAGCAGGGCCTCTTTGCAAGGAGTTTATACCTCTAATTGTTATTGAACCAGGTACTGTGGTGCTGTGAAGGAAGAGAACCAGATGTATTTGTTATACACTTGGGTATACTTGTGTTACAGGCAGCAGCAGTCTATCCTGAATCTTTTATTATATTGATTTTATTCTGTATTTATAGAGTTTCCTGTGTTAGGCCTTATTTTCCATTTTTGCAGCAGTGGTTTTATTGCATTGCCAGACAGCAGGAACAAACAATGGCAGCATTTATTCCACCTGAGTTTCTCCCAGGGTATTACTGTTGTTGTTAGATGCAAGACATGGTAAACACACAAGCAAACATCTTGTCCAATTTCTGGAAGGAGCTCTGATGTATTTTCTTTCTGATATTTTTTTTAATGCCAATTGTACAGTTTTTCATGCTAAGGCAGAGGAAAGAAGCTTTAAAATAGAACAATCAAATCACATAATCTGGGAAAAGTTTTGTCAAAGTTGTAGAAAAGACAAAGCTTTCAGGCTCTTGGTAGCTTGAGAAGCTGAGACTGTAAGTGCTGTCTGTAATAATTATTCACTGGCTACCTGGGGCAGAGGTACAAAAGGAAAAGGAGGAAAAAAAAGGAAGAAAGAGCTGTAGGAGTCTCCCAGTGCACCCCCAAGCCTTGGTAAAGGCACAGAGGAGGCAGACAGCCCCATTTTACCCATCTGACTCTCAGCCCTGCAGTCACTGCTTTGGCTTTATCTGCAGTCAGAGATGCCCTTAATGATGACTTTCTTGTCCTTTCAATTTTTAGCATAAGATTTAAAACACCCCACAGTATCATTTACTGCCAAATCAGTTCTCTTCACTCTGGAAATGGTCATTTTAAAGAGAAATAATTACAAATAGTTCATTCCAGTAACAAGAACAAGAATCAGCATTTCTTTAGAAAATCTTTTTCTCATAGAGAGGGGACTGATTTATATCCAGGCTCTGTGGATGGATCCTGGGCCAGGCTGAAGCTTCTGTCATGAAGGGGAGCACGATATTACCAAGGGACTCAGTGAATTTAAGCTCTTGAGGAGCAAATTAACTTGAAACTTGCACAGATTAACCAGATATGTTCTACAACTCTTTAAGCAAATCCTCAAAAAGGAGCCAAATCCAAACAAACAAAACCCAAAAGTGCAGCTGCCCAAGCATCCCCTGAGTTAGCAAAGGCTGATTCAGGCATAGACAAAACACATTTATGTATATTGGTACCTGTACCTTGGCACAGCTGCCCAGGGATGGAGTCCCTGCTCCTGGAGGGATTTTAAAGCTGTGTGGATGTGGCACTTGGGCACATGGGTCAGTGGTGGCCTTGGCAGTGCTGGGGAATGGTTGGACTCCATGATCTTAAAGGTCTTTTCCAAGCTAAAAGATTCTGTGATTCTATGAAGGAATGAATCACTCTTAGCCTGGGAAGCTGAGGGGCTCAGGTGTCTCAGCACTGCATAAATGAACATTTGGCCAACCTCATAATTCAGCCAATTTCTTACCCATCCCACCCCCAACACTTTAAACCAAAAGCTCCCACACCTGTTCTGGAAGAAAAGACAGTGAGAGACTGCGTAAGAAATGACGTTTGAATACAAAATCTGGAGTGACTCTTGTCTGATGTGATTTTCCTGGTTCTTTTTACAGTTAGTCAGCTCTGCTTTATGATCTAAATTCCTCTGTCCTGCCTGCCTGGGAGCCTGCCTGTCTCTTTTCTGTAGGGCTGAGTTCTCTCAGTGGGTGACACCCTGTCTCCCATTAATTTTCAGAGGAACTCAAAGCAGGAAGAGCAGCCATGTGAGTTTGAGAAGCTTTAACAAGACCTTTATCATTTCATTTTCCTGTGAAGTTTCTGTAGTGTCATAGAAAAACCAAAGAGAAGTTGACATTAAAGTGAGTCTTTGACGTGATTCGGTCTTCATTCTTCTGTTTCCAAAGGTTGCCCACTGAATTCATGGATTTAAAAGTAAAATATTTCTGAGGGAAGAGGAAAGTGACTTTTTATCTGGGCAGATACTGATAGGGCAAGAGAGAAGGGTTTTAAACTTACAGAGGAGAGATTTAGATTAGATATTAGGAGGAAATTGTTCCCTGGCAGGGTGGGCAGGCCCTGGCACAGGTGCCCAGAGCAGCTGGGGCTGCCCCTGGATCCCTGGCAGTGTCCAAGGCCAGGCTGGACATTGGGGCTGGAGCAGCTGGGACAGGGGAAGGTGGGGTGAGACTGGATGATTTTTGAGGTCCTTTCCAATTCAAACCACTCTGTGACTCTATGAACCGAGTGAGCACACACTGAAAGTGCCAGGAGCAGGGCATTTGCCTGGTGGAGCTGTAGGTGACAGTATGTAATTATTAAGATTTGATTTAAATCCCGGCAGAATAAAGCAGAATTCAGCTGAAAGCAGCTGCATGTTTTGTGAAACAGCTTATAATGTCTTAACAGTAGATGGTTGCTTATTCAGTGGTTGTGAAATGTGTTTGGTAATGACTTTTACTGCTCAAGTTAACTTTGAAAGACCCTGGTGGAATAAATCAAAGTCACATTGCTATTCATTTCTTTAGTCCTTGTGAAACTTAAACGGTCTCAGTATCAAATGGAACATGTCACTGTTTGTTTTGATAATCTTCATTTATGCTGTCTTCAAATAACCTCTTTTGCTGAGGCATCACATTCCTCCTTTTAAAACCCCTCTCTAGAAGCTGATAAAATTGCATTCCTAGTGGATGTGAGCAAGTAATGAGAACTGCATGGGCTGGATTGTTTGCCTATTCAAGTCCCAAATTACATTTCACATCATTTATTGCTCTACTTCTGTAGTGGACTGTGTGAATCCTTGTTTTTAGTTTCAGTTGACAGCTTCAGAGTATTCAGAGAAATATAATCACTGCTCAGTAAGTGGAGGAGATACTGGAAAAATAAAGTCTGAGCTCATTTTGCTGTATGTCTGTGTGGCTCAGTGAGGAGTTTCTGTCTTGACCAGATAACCCAAATTTCAAGGCATCATCCAACCAGTCAGTGGTAAATTTCATGGAATTATTTTGCTGTTTTCCTAATCTTCAGCCCTGCATTTTGAGTGAAAGGTTGTGCTCTTTTTATGACAATTACACTGAATTCTCTAACTATTCCATCAATTACTGTGTGATAAAGATAAATCTGTATCAGACAAGTATCTGGATAAGATATCTCATTATGTAGGTGTGCAGGACAAAGTGCACACAAACTGGCTGTCACAAGAATTTAATATAAAGATTTTAAAATTCAGGAAAAGAATTTTTAAAAAGAGACATTTTGTGAAAAGATAAAATTCTTTTGAGTCAATTCCAGTTGCAGAAGGAGCACTTTGGTTGTGTTCTCTCTTGACTTTGTTTGCTGTTTGAGAAATTATTTACTAAAAATATTATCCCAGACAGATGAAAGAAGAAACTCCTAAATCTACCCCAATTCATGTATTAAGGCCTCCATTAGTACAGAGATAATGTTTTAGACTATTTTACCTTTCACTTCATTTTAGTCTGGAGTTTGGCTTAGATGATGCTGGAAGAGTTATTTAAAGTGAATATATTCATGCACGCTTCTAGAGCAGGCAGCTGTACACAGTAATTCCATTTACTGACTGATAAATAGTGGATCATGCATTTATATTACATGTTCATGCCTTCAGGGAAAGCTTTCTTACAAGTGTAGTGGATTTTTTTTCCCTCGAGGAAAATGATCAGTGTGGAAAGGTCTCTTACTTGTGGTTAAGCCAAAACATCATTCTGATCAGCAGCCTGTAATCAAATCATGCAGTGAATTTCTCAGAAAGGATTGTCCCAAAAATCAGCATTTAAACATGGATTAATGTTAAAATTTCAAACTGACACTTTCAACATTTAGAGTATTCATAGGTTAACAAGAGGCCATGGAAGATTTTGGCTTGCTTTGGCCTTTTCTTCTAAAAAGGAGATTTTTAAAGGTCATGGGTTTTTCTTAAAAAGGTTTGTGAAATCTTGGACATTCTGATATTAAAGAAACAGTCTGAAGGAAATTAAATAGACTGAGTGAAATCTTTTACTGCATTTTTAATTTGCCTCCTGACATGAAGGATCTCCTCCCTCATCACACTCATCCTCACCCATAAATTATTGCCCTTTCCAACACTCCATGTCTGGTGACCTCTCCCTGCCACTGCTGGGACTTGGGACTTCGGGGGATTTCTTGAACAGCAGAATTTTTAGCCCAAATAAAGAGAAGTTCACAGCTGCTCAATGGTTTCAAATGTCTGATGGGGAAACTGGGTGGCCAGAAAGGCTGTCCTGAAATTCCCACTCTGCCCTATACATGGATGAATTTAAAACTGAGTTTATTTAACAACAGAGTTACTTCAGCTGCTAAACTTCTAAAACATTTCACAGGACAGGCAATAGGACCTTAGAGGGGGAATATGTGCCTCGAGCTGGGTTTGTGTGCTGGATTGACCGGCTCTCCTGTGGATTTTTTTTTGAAGGATCACTCAGAAAACCCTCTGGGTGCAGCAGTGACGCTGGCTCATGAGCTGGGGCACAATTTTGGGATGAATCACGACACACTGGAGAGAGGCTGCAACTGCAAAGCATCCACTGATAAAGGGGGCTGCATCATGAACCCCTCCACTGGGTAAGTGCCAGGCTGAGACTGGCGAGCTGCTGGGACGTCTCTGGTTTCATTTTGTGCCTCAGGAACATTGAAAGGTAAAAAAAGGAAAAGATTTTTCAACACCTGTTAAATCTTGTTGCAGTTATCCTCCCCAGCCTTAAAGAATTATATGTTATCAGAGCACAACATGTACTATTGCACCTTTCTATTTCTGGGTTAACAATGTGAGAGACAAAAATGCTGTAAGCAACTGGTTAATTTAAAAAAAAAACAATCCACAACCAAACAAACTGCATTGCAGGTGTTAAATCAGAATTTCACCTTCTCTCATCTTGCCAGCTGAGCATCAGTCACAATAGGAAATGAGCCAAGGCTGAGATGAGTGGGTAGGAAATTCAGTAATGCAGGAAATGCACTCCTAGAATCTCTGCAAATTCTTTGTTTTCAGTTTTGCACAAACTTTTGTGATATGTGTGGAGCAGTTTCAGCATGTGAGAAAATTAAATCTGCAAGGTCAGTGGGATTGAGGCTGCTCTGTGTCCAGAGGGAGATCTTCCAAGAAAAGAGATTAGAAAGGTGAGAAATAAAAACCAGTGAAGCTGCAGTCCCTTCTGTGGGTGCAGGGCCAGGAGCTGGACTCGATGATCCTGGTGGGCACCTCCCAGCTCAGGATATTCCCTGATTCCCTGTCAGCGCTGAGGGGAGGCTCTGCTGGTGGCAAAGGCACTCTGCCAAGGGACAAGAGTGTTTTGTAGACACTGACATTTCACACACCCTGGGCAGACTGAGCTGTCACTTCTTGCAGGGATGGATTTTAAATTCCTGTTGAAACCCAAGGATATGAGGAATGAGTTCCCCAAGTCCATGTCCAGACTAGGACTGAAAGGATTAAATTGAAGTAAGGTTTTCCAAAGCTCTCTGATGGTAACACTGGGCCAGATGAAGGCATTAGGCTGCCTGGGACTGGAATCCAGTAAGAACCAGTGAAATACCTGCCAGCAGTGTAGGTACAGCTGGATGTGCCTTAGGACAAGAGGATGGTCTGGATGTTTTCTGATGTCCCTTCCAGCTCCAGCATTCACTCTGTGTGCTTAAAGTTCATCTGTTGCTTAAAAAACTCTTCTGGGAATTGTGATCAGCTCTCCCTCTGCCTTTTCCAAGACTGCAAGTTTCTGGGAAAGAAGGGGAGCAATCTGGGAGAGGCCAGGGAATGTTGGGCAGGGATGTTCCCTGCTGGTCAGCCCAACAGCAGCCTTGGAATTCCTTCAAAGGCAAAGCTGTCACCCTCCATCAGGGCAGAAATCAGGATTGTGGCCAGAGGCCAAGCACAGCAAGTTGAGAGACAAACAAAAGAGAGTTGTGAGAGTGGAGGAGAACGAGAGGGATTTCTACAGTCTGGAAAAGAAAAATAGCTGGCTCTTTTGAGACAATAGGTGGAACTTATCCCCATGGAACTGCATCCTGCACAGGTCAGGGCTGTGTGCTCACTGTGGGGACAGAGTGACAGGCTCTGAGCTGAGCTGGTGGTGAGCAGTGGGCAGTGGGCAGGCAGGGCTGGGCAAGGAGCTCCTGAAGGAAGCACTGCAGCCTCTGTCAACTCAGCTGGGTTCCTGATTCTGCATCCAGCTGCTCCACTTTGGAATAAACACAGGGATGCTCTCAGGACAGAAATTTCTGGACACTTTCTGAACTCATCTGGTGAGAGGGACATTAAATAGCTCCTTCCTCATTCTTCCTTCACGCTGGAGTCCTTTGGGTGTATCAGATCCTGTCCTGGGTGCTGGATGTGCCAGTCCAGACACTGGGCTTGGGTTGGCTCAGGGCGAGGTCCCAGCGAGGCTGTGTCCCCTCAGTGTTCCTCAGGAAAGGAGGAATTGGATATTCCATTCCTCATCCCTTGGAGACGTCTCCAAACAGCTGAGCTCTACCCCTGGGGTTTCTGGAGCACCTTCCAGGCTGAAGGCTCTGCCCACCCCCAGCACCCCATGGGTTTGGGCAGAGTCAGCTCCACCTTGTAATGCCCTCTTTGGATTTTCACCAAACTCTGCATTCAGCTTGTGCCTGAGGAAGAGCTGTGGCCTTCACAGCCCTGAGCAGGCTGATTGTTTGCACTGATTATTGATTTAGAAATAGAAACTTTGACTTTGGGTTTATAGCCTCAGGCTTTATCTTGACACTGTGCTGTCAATCTGTGATAAATATTCCTGGAGAACACTTCATGCCTTTAGCCAAGCTGCATCTCACCAATTTCAAATTAGCACTTTGAATATTTAATTACCCAACGTGTCTCACCAACAGCAATATTCCCTCCAGCACCATTACTGAAAGAACACTGAAAAGTTTCCTTCTCTGCAAGTGTTTGTCTGTTAAGGGAAGGCCAAATGAATGTTCCTTATCTCAAATGCACTCTGGAAATAGCCAAAAAATCAAAACTAAGAGCATGCCACATCCATTTAGAGAGACAGCCTGCTCTCAGTGTACTCACTGCACTGACTTTGTGCTTTTCTAATTGGTTTAAGGTAGCTTTAGTAAGTGGAATAAAAAAAAAAATCTAGCTGAAGGTAGTGTAAAAGCACTGAGAAGTCCTTATCTGATGTCTGTGAAAAGTAGGAAATATCTAAGTTATACCAGAAGGTAACTTTGTTATACCAGAATTTAACTTTGGAGTCATTGGTGTGGTCATGCACAAAAGGGAATGTTTTAAGGCTGTTGACTTAAAAGGGATTTCATCAATTATTGTAATTTCTTTTGATTCTTCTCTTTCAGTCTTTGAAGAGGTCTTGGAAATTGTGTCTTGGTGGGAAAAAACCTCCAGGGATTAGAGTAGAATTTAAAATCTGTTGGATCTATCCTTTAATCAGCTTCCTATAGTTTTTATTCTTCAAAGATACCAGCAAGATGAGCACCAGTTGTGTGTGAGCTACAAATGTCTAAAGACATACTGCTTTAACAAAATGTATTTTTTATAACGTGAAATCCAGCACAAAACCCCACAAATCTGTGTCAATACAGGACTTTTAGAGATTCAAATATCTGCTATGAAAATCACATAAATTCTTCTGTAGGAACAGGGGTGGTGCCTATAAAAATACTATAAATAAGGAATATTTAGTAGTAAAATTAGTATTTAGTACTACAGAATATTAATATTTAAATATATTTAATATTGATACTAATCATATCAGTAAGGAATATTTAATACACATTTTCCTCTTTTTTATGCATCTGTTATAATTATATTCCTCCAGGTTTTTTAGTTGTCTTGTACATGGACTGTTTCAAGTGAAAAAGATGGAATATTAGAGAGATCTGTGAATCTTTTTACTGAGATTTCATTATCTGGAAACGAAGGGACTGGGCTGAGCCAGTGAGGCCATTTCAATATTCCACTTGTTTCCCAAATATCTCCCTAAATCGTGGCCTCTTAGGAGTGAAAATATTCCTCCTGCCAGGAAAATCCCAAGGAGTTGTGGTGTATCCCAAGGCACTGGGCTGGATTTGTACCCCTGCAAATGTGAGCAGAATTCAGCACTGCAGAGCAAAATGCTGCCAATTAGCAGCGCTTGTTAATTTAACAATTTTGGAAATGCACTTTTTACACGTCCCTCTTCATCAATGTTGAGCACAGGGGTCTCCATGGGGTTTGAAGCCAGGTGAGCTTCCACTAGAAAGTTGATATATTGAGTTCAGATGTGTTTGAGATTTTTTTGGCAGCCTTAAGGGAAGCAAATTTTTGATAGTTAGTGTTCTCCCCTCCTGTAAACTCAAAGGTTGAACTTCTCCTGGAAATTTGTTCTTCCTTCCCTCTCACAGGGAATGTTCCTTGATGCCTTTCATTTCCTCTTCCTGGGGGAGGTTAATGAGGGCAGGAATCCTCCAAGGATGGGCAGTTTCACCAAGCCCATTCACATGCTGATCCTACAGTTGTTTTTTTCCCTTTGGGATGCCCATTCCTGCAATAACAAAATCCTCTCCCCCTGGCCCCTGGTGGAAGGGTTTGCTCTTCCCAGGTTCATTTCTTGTTGCTGGATCATCCCAGCCAGGGCTAATGGAAATGTCTCCCAGGACAGAGCCATTTTTCCATCTCTGCCTTCCCATAGACACAAGCTGGTGGAAAATGGGGAAAGGTCAGGCTTTGTGGTGTTCCCCCCCAATCCCCTTTGCACATGGAAATGGGAATGGTGGAGATTTCTCTCAGGTCTGTCTTAATGCCCTAAACCCCACTGCTTTCTCTGGACATTTGTTACGAGGTGGAACACCTCACATTGATCTGGAAGGTTCTCCTCAAAGCCCATGATGGAGAAAAGATTAAATAAATGCAAAATAATTTCAAATACTGAGGAAAATATAAATGCTGTATGGACTATTGTTTCAAGATATTCAAGAAGTGGAAAATCTGATGTGTGAGATGTGTCAATGGCTATTGACATTTGCTTAACAAACTCTGAATGAAAGAACATCTCTTGGAAAACTTTCACTTTAATCTAGGCCCCTAGCAGACCTGGTTTTCCTCTTTTCCCAGAGTTCCAAGGCATATTCTGATTTACATCCCTTGATGAAACACAGGAAGGTCTGGGCCAGGCACAGGAAGGTGGAAGCAGCTTCTTTAGGATATTTCCTCGCACAACAACTCCCCTTTGTCGTGTTCCTGCTGTGTGATGCTCCCTTTGAAAAGTCAAGAATGACTCAAACCCCTTTGCCTGCCTTTTTTTTCCCCCTGTTCTTATCTTGGATCTTGTCTTCCCATTTCCAATTTTCACAGCTAGAATTTAAAGTCACTCTGTGGTTCTCTCTCACTCGGATTTTAAATTGAATTTACTCAGATAAATATGACTGTAAGTGTTGCAGGGAAGTGGGGTTTGGGCTGGTGGAAATTCCTGTTTTGTGTAGTGAGGACCATGAGTGGGAAAAAAAAGGAGAAATGAGATCAATTTAACCTGTCAGCTATAGATTATTATTATTTTAGAGGAATTTCATGGTACGGTGCCTCATGGGAAAAAAAGAACAGCTAATTTTGAGTA